AAATATATATATATTTTTTAACATCATAAATCTTTTACACTTAAATATTTGGTATATTAATAAATATATCAATAATCTACTTAAAGATTTTAAATTTTTTTTTTAATTTAATCTCATAACATCTCAATTTTGTTCAATTTAATCATTGTACTATCTATTTGTATTCAATTAATTCTCCATGACGTGGTCGAATTTTTTTTGAAATTTTTTTTTATCTATCATGTGGCATTTACATATCAACGTATCAATGCCATGTCAACATTGTCAAGTCATCATATAATGCCATGTGGTATTTATTTTTTGGGTCTATACTAATCGATAACGCGATGCATTCTTCAAGCTTACTCTAGAAAATCCTACTACTTATGAATGAAGAATAAGGGGGCTGATGGATGGATCAAGAGAATAAGGTTTCTTTTCATAGAATATATGGTGCATTTTGTTTTGATAAGTTTGATGCTTTCTAGAAAGAAATCATCCAAGACCCAACCCTTTGAAGTTTTTATAACCCATTACTTTATTAATCCTGTCATGCTAATATATGATAATCCAGATTATCTCCACTTATTCATAACCCTCAAAAAGTAAAATAAGATATTATTAATATCATAATGTATTTAGAATGTCTACTGCGATCAAATGATAAATTATTGAATCCATAAATCTTTTAAAATTGAGATATTCATAAACTAAAAATAACTCAAACAAAATTATTCTCTCTCATTTATCTTTCCTCCTAATCCTCTTTAATATAACCAACATAGTTTATAAATCTCTTTTTTTTTTTTATAAATCTTAGCTGTAGCTGCGATGGATGGTTTCTTATAAATCTTAGCTTAGCGAGTGATCTTATGACAGGTTTGCACATTTCCAGATTTGGGGGTGGCAACAAGATTGTAACACAATTATTTTTTTTAAGTTTTGAAAATTGGAGACAAATTTTATTTTATGAATAGTAATAATTATTTCATTCATAATAAATGATAATATGATCATGGATTAAAGTCTGGTGGTCTGAAATCAGCTTGAAACTCTTAAAGACATAAATAAATTTCAGTCTCAATATCATTCAAGATCAAGAACTCTGGAAAAAAAAAGAAAAGAAAAGAAAAGTCCCTAATAAGCAGGCGGCACCAAGAGAAGTTTGGGGGACAATTGACAACCGATTTTGTGTCACCTACATGCTACAGGGGCTTACAAGTTATGTAAGATGTGATCATTTAATTCAAAAGAAGTTTTACATTTTGAAATTGATGAAGGCATTAGGGTCATTTCATGTCTTGTATGATGGGGTTTTTTGACATTTTATGTTTCGATTTTTCTTGCCGGTGATGACCATGAAGGCAAAGTCTTTAATTATATGGTTAAAGTACATGAATGATTAAATCAAAGTCAAGCAAGACTTCCCCTTGATGAGGTAACCCCACAAATATCGATCCAGATCCAGACTTGCCTCTTTCTCCTTTCTCCTTCGGTAGTTCCCCCATGGGAAATCCTTCACATTTTCTTCCAAGTTGCTTCAAAGTCTTTACGAAAACAGCAGGCCATAGAAAATCAGAAATAAGAAAGGGGAATGCAAAACACTCCAGGATACAATATCCAACAGCTCTTCCTGAGGAAATTTACCATCAGCGGCAATTTTCCCTAACCGAGGTCAACGCTGCTACCAACAGTTTTCATCGAAAATCTCTTTTAGCTGAAGCTTTTTTTGGAAAGGTGTTCAAAGGGATTGTTGATGATGGAAACTTTGTAGCTGTCAAACGCATCAACCTAGATTCAGGGCGAGAAGCACTCGATGAGTTCCAAAATGAAGTGCAGATGCTCTGCCAGCTGCGCCACCAACATCTCGTGTCTCTTATCGGGTACTGCAATGATAAGGACGAGAAGATCCTCATATACGAATTCATGGAAAACGGGTCACTCCGTGATCATCTCTATGGCTGTAATTATGATCCACTCCCATGGAAGCAGAGGCTGGAGATATGTATTGGTGCAGCTCGTGGATTACATTACCTTCATACTGGAGCCAAGCATGCTGTAATTCACCGTGACGTCAATAGCACCAATATCCTTTTGGACGATAAATGGGTTAGTAAGCTTTCTAATTTCGGGTTGTCCAAGATGCGTTCACAACCTTCATACTCTAGCACGTCAAAACCTTTGAAAAGAATAGACTCACGCGTAGCAGGTACTGTAGGTTATATGGATCCAGAGTATGGAATAGGAGGTGGACTTTCAGAAAAATGTGATGTGTACTCGTTTGGTGTTGTTTTATTTGAAGTGTTGTGTGCTAGAAAGGTCATTGATGGACGCTTGGACAACCATGAAGCAAATCTAGCTACTTGGGTCCATCGTTGCATAGGTGAAGGAACCATTTATAATATCATTGATCCACATCTGAAGGGGAGGATAGCTCCAGAGTGTTTCACGATATTCGTGGACATCGCTTATTGCTGTATCAATTTAATGGGAGATAGACGGCCTGACATGGGTGAAGTGACGCTGATGCTAGAGCTTGCAATGGAGATGCAAGAGAAAGCAGATTCTCAAATGAGGGATCATGATCCTCATGGTGAATGTAAGTATGGAAAAGTAGCATTTTGTATTCCTGTTTCTGACCACGATTAGTATACAAACGATAAAAGCCACGTTGAAAATCTAAAAGAATTGCGGTCATTTTGAAATTAAACCACAAAAAGTTAATTGTGAATTTAAGTTTAATTTAGATTGAATTAAAAAAATCTTAATCAATACATATTTCTTTTTTTATTTGTTTTGTTTTTTGGGTCTATGCTCAGTGATAATGTGAAGCATTCTTCAAGCTTGTTTTCTGGAAATCAAGTGGGGATTTGCATGAAATTGCACCCATTTTCTCTCAATGGATGCTTAGGCTCACTTTCATTCACCAAGGTGTATTCGTCATCAACCAAATGAAAAGAAAGCTTTAAAACAAGTTAAACGTCTCTTTGCAATCCTCACAAACAATCTATTTGAATCCTTTATTATGTATATTCATAATTTTTTATATTATAAAAAGGTCGAGTAATTTAATTATCAGATTAAAAAATTTCTATCAATTTCACATTTTGATCGAATTCTATTTTGCCATATAGATTATTATTCTATACATCAACTGTGGAATTTTTTAATTTTAGAAGGGAGTTTATACAATTGTCTTATGTCTATTTAATAGCTTAATAATTATTTTTTTTAAATATACCTATATGGATAAAATTCTAATCTTTTAAATCTGCTTGTGGAGTTAAAATAACTCTACTGTCCATGTTATTTTATGTTCTTAATCTATTTCAAATAGTTAAAATAAGCTTACAGGATTGTAATATTTATTTAATAACTAAATAATTAAAATTTTTAACTATATCTTGAATACATACATATCAATCTTTGATTCTTTCTCTTTTGGGTTGTATGGTTAAGCTTTTTCCGATCAGTATAGGTAGGGATTTTTTGTAAAGCAGGTTCATACTCCCCTATTCATGAGAATACTCTTTTATCCCCATGGTTCATTATTTTTGTAGGATCATGGAGTTGTATTCTATCTTCTCTTAATGAAATTCTTAATGATTGAGAAAAAAGAAGAAGAAGCACATTTCAACCTTTTAAACTTGTGAAAATTAAAAACTTGATTACGAGTATTATTTTATATCTCTAATCCATTTTAGGTGAGTAAAAATGGGGCAAAATATCTCTACAAGAATGATAATAAAAGACATTTTTGTTATTTTATCATTTATTATTCTAAAATTATTCTCATTAATTAAATATTGAAATAATGTTACAATGAGAATTTCATTTCATGAACTAAATAATATAATAATTATTTTATTCTTACTTTATTCTATACACACTTAACAACTATATGTTTTCTTCTCTTTTTATAACCCTTTCAATTTTTTATACCCAACCAATGAAATTAATTGTGCAAGAAAAACAAAAAGAAAGAAAATTCCGTTTTGCATTAGAAAAAATAGATTGCAAACGTAAGAGATTACTTGACATTTTCAAAACAGAATCTAAACGAGTCAATTATTGAATATAAATTCAATTAAAATTAAATTCAAACACATTTTAGTTCGATCTATATTTTTTCATTTTTTTTTAAATTTTTTGGATCTATACTAAGTAAAAACATGAAGCATTCTTCAAGCTAGCTATAGAAAATACTACTACTAAATATTTTAATTCAAGATAAGTTTTGCTTTCCTTTCTTTTTAATTAATTCTCATTTAGATTTAATATTATACTCGAGAGTTAAGATTTTATTTGTTGTCATGCCCATTAGTCTTAAGTATTTATATTATTTTTTTAATTTTTTTATATTGTTGATATTTTACTCAATAATAAACATATGTATCTTTGATTTAAAAAATCGAGATCTAATCTTCTTTCTCAAAACTTAATATATTATATACACGTATTTTTTTTGTGTCTTTTTATGGGTATCCATAATATTGTAATGGCTGGTATTTGAGAAGTACTCAGGGTTATTTTGATGTTGTCCCATGGGTTTTATGAGTATTTTCGGATAAGCTTCAACGGTAGGTAAAGGTCTTTTTCCATGGCTTTTGTGGATGGTGATGAACACGAGGGCAAAGTCATTGACTATGGTCAAAGGACTTTTAGGCTGTGTTCACATGAATGATTAAAGTAAAGTGAAGCAAGATTTCTCCTTGATTACACCACAACTATCAATCCAGATTCGGACTTGCTCCTTTCCCCTTCACCACTTCCCACATGGGAAATCCTTCACAATTTCTTTCAGGTTGCTTCGAAGTCTTTACGAAAGCAGCAGGCAATAGAAAATCAGAAAAGAGTAAGGGAAAACACGATTGGATTCAATATCCAGTAGCTATTCCTGAGGAAATTTGCCGTCAATTTTCTCTACCCAAGATCAGAGCTGCTACCAACAACTTTCATCCAAACTTGTTACTCAGTGAAAGTGAGTTTGGAAGTGTGTACAAAGGGATTGTCGATGATGGAACCTTGGTTGCTGTTAAACGCCTCAGATCAGATGCAGTATTTACAATCAAGTTGTTCCGAACCGAAGTGCAGTTGCTCTGCCAGCTTTGCCACCAGCATCTCGTGTCTCTTATCGGGTATTGCAATGATAAGGACGAGAAGATCGTTGTATACGAACTCAAGAAAAACGGGTCACTCCGTGATCATCTCTATGGTTGTGGTTATGATCCACTCCCATGGAAGCAGAGGTTAGAGATATGTATTGGTGCAGCTCGTGGATTACATTACCTTCATACTGGAGCGAAGCGTGTCGTAATTCACCATGACGTCAAGAGCAGCAGTATTCTTTTGGACGATAAATGGGTTAGTAAGTTTTCTGCTCTCGGGTTGTCCAAGATCCGTTCACAATCTTCATATAACAAGGCAAAAGCTTTGGAAAAATCAGAGCCAGGACTGAAGGGTACTTTAGGTTATATGGATCCAGAGTACTTTAGGGATTCGGAAATTTCAGAAAAATCTGATGTGTACTCATTTGGGGTTGTTTTATTTGAAGTGTTGTGCGCTAGACCACCAGCCTTTAATCTAATCCACAATAGGTGTTTAGTATGTCTAATTGATTGGGTCCATCACTACATAGGCGAAGGAACCATTCATAATATCATTGATCCATATTTGAAGGGGAAGATAGCTCCAGAGTGTTTCAAGTTATTCGTGGACATCGCTCTTTGCTGTATTAGTGAAAAGAGAGATAAACGGCCTGAGATAGGTGAAGTGGAGCTCATGCTAGAGCTTGCATTGGAGATGCAAGAGAAAGCAGATTCGGAAATGAAGGATCTTGATCCTCATGGTGAATGTATGTACGGAGAAATATCATTTCCTATCTCTGTTTCTGACCATATCGGTGTAGACGATGGCAATAGTTCAGAATTTACTTGGAGAGATGAAAAACACCCAAGGATACATCATCTAACAGCTTTTTCTCAGGAAATTCACCGTCAACTTTCTCTAACCCAGATCAAAGTTGCTACCAACAACTTTCATCCAAACATGCTTATCGGTAGAGGTAGCTCTGGAAATGTGTACAAAGGGTTTATCGATGATGGAAACTTGGTTGCTGTTAAACGCTTAAATCCAGATGCAGCACAAGCATTTAATAAGTTCCAAACCGAATTGCAATTGCTCTGCCAGCTGCGCCATCCACATCTCGTGTCTCTTTTTGGGATTTGCAATGATAAAGATAAAGATGAGATGATCCTTGTATCCGAACTTGTGAAAAACGGGACACTCAGTGATCATCTTTATGGTTCTGAGTATGATCCACTCCCATGGAAGCAGCGGCTAAAGATATGTATTGATGCAGCTCGTGGATTACATTACCTTCATACTAGCGTAAAGCCAGCAATAATTCACGGTGATGTTAAGAGCAGCAATATTCTATTGGACTATAAATGGGCTGGTAAGCTGTCTGATTTCGGGTTGTCCAAGATGTGTTCACAACTTTCATACTCTAGCACTTCAAAAGCTTTAGAAAAAGTAAACTCAGTAGTGAAGGGTAGTAACGGTTGTTTGGATCCAGAGTATCTTAAAGATAGTGGACTTTCAAAAGAATGTGATGTGCACTCGTTTGGGCTTGTTTTATTTGAAGTGTTGTGTGCTAGAAAGGTATTTGATCCAACATTGGACGAGGATGAACGACATCTAGCTGATTGGGTCCGTCGGTGCATAGACAGAGGAACCATTTATAACATCATTGATCCATATCTGAAGGGGAAGATAGCTCCAACGTGTTTTAAGATATTCATGGATCTTGCTCATTGTTGTACCAGTTTGGAGGGAAATACCTGGCCTGAGATGGATGAAGTGACGCTCATGCTAAAGCTTGCATTGGAGATGCAGGAGAAAGCAGACTCCCAAATGAAAAATCTTGATCCTCACGGTGATTGTATGTATGGAGAAATATCATTTTCATATCCCCGTTCCTAATCCTAATTTACACGTGGAGAGTAACAGTTTGAAACTGGGGCAGGCAACTTGGATTCCAGCAGTAAATCACTTGGATCTTTAGTAAATACCACTTCTACAAAACAAAAAAGAAGAAGAAAATTGTGGCCATTTTTTGGCTTTGTGAATGAAGTGTGAGAAGAGGCCAAGGCATGGATTGAAGAGAATAGTGTCTTTTCTTATATAGAATATGATGGCTTTTGTTTTGATTTGCATGGAAATTGCTCCCATTTTTTCTCAATGGATGCCTCAAAATTTCCTATAAATGTTAGGATTCAGGCTCACTTTCATTCACCAAGGTGTTCATAACTAATTAATTTTTTTTTTTTTTGTAATTTATTCTAAATAGAATGGTCTGAACCTTTTAAACCTACTCGTGAAATAAAGAACTTGACTACCGATATTATTTTGTACTCCTAATCCATTTTGGGTGGGTAAAGTGGCGGCCCAATCATCTATATGTTCCAGCCCATAACTAGAAACAGAAAGCTTGACAAATATGGCCTATGAAGGAGAGACATGGGCTCTAGCCCGGGTGATCATGTGCTCTGGTCTAAGCCCAAACCACAAGGATACGGAGCGTTTTGTCAGCTTGAGGCGAAAGCCCGGAAAGAAAATTGGGTTTAATAACAAAAGAAAAGAACCGGCGCGTAATTGCTCTGCAGAACGGCGGAACTCTGAAGCAGGAAACGTTCAAGCGAAGAGCGTGAAGAAGTTGGCTTTTGCTTTAATACTTCCTTTCAGAACAATTCAAAGAGAGTCCGGCGGTGAGAATTTGATTCTAACTCTGTTTGGTTTCTTGGAAAAACCCGAGGAAAGTGAAAGAGAAGCAAACTATTTTGGGGCCTTTTAATGTTTGGTAAAGTTTGCTAAAGAACTGCACACGATTTCTTTGATAAAAGGCTTGAATGAAAAGAGAAAAGAAGTTTTATTGAACAAGAAGAATGAAAAAAGCTTAACAAAACTTGGGTTCTTAAGGAAAATGGATTTTTTTTTTCATGTTGATTGATTTTAGCAAACGTGTAGTTGAATGCTAACAGATGAAATATAATTGAAAAGGAAGAAACTTTGAGCAGAAAAAGCTCAAATTTGAGTTAAATATAATATGTTTAATTTTAATCATGAGATTAGGATTGTTATGACTGTAGTTTGATTCATTTATATGCTTTTTCTTTCATATGATTTCATTGCTTTGCCAGAGCCCCTCAATGATGTTAAATTATTAATGTACCGAAGAAGCAGCTTTTGGTTTTCTGTAGTATGAGTATTTATTATTGTTTTTTATGGTTGTTTTGACTAAGTATTATAGGACTTTGAATCAGGAAAGACTTACGTCAGCCTTATTGTTCACTGAATTGTGTAGTGTCTTGATTCTTGACTGTTGCTTCTGCTATGGCGGCCAAGACTCGGACAAGTAGCTTCTCTCGAAACCTTTCGGCTGCAGCCCCATCTCAAGGCCCCGGACTCAAGTGTGGGCCAAATGGCACCGTCTTTCTATCTTCCGGGATACCTGACCTTGACAGTAATGTCCCACACTCCCTCATTCTTATTGTTGCATAACATTCTCTTCTGGCTTTGCTTTCTGCTAGTTCTTTCACGTGATTTGTGTGATTTGTTCTCTTATTGTGTAGTTTTTACTTGATATGTAGAGATACTAGGTGGTGGGTTCCCTTTGGGAACCCTAGTTATGGTGACGGAAGATGCAGAAGCACCTCATCACATGCTTTTGTTGAGGAATTTCATGGCTCAGGGACTTGTTCATAATCAACCTCTTCTCTATGCTAGTCCAGCCAAAGACCCAAGAGGGTTTTTGGGCACTTTGCCCAGTCCTGCTGCATCCAAAGATGAGAAATCCCATAAACACGATCCAGATCAGGTGCCCCTCATCTTGACCCCCTTTTGTCTATTGGTGTCTTTTTCAGTCTTGTTGAAATCTCAGGTGCAAATGCTAAGAATGTGAATAGTATATTCCAAAAAACTTGCAGGAGAAAGGCTTGAGAATTGCTTGGCAGTATAAGAAGTACTTTGGTGAAAATCAACTAAATTTTGATGGCCAAAGAGGTAGTTTTTATTTCCCTGGTATTATTCTATATTTCATTTTAGTTGGAGGTTTAACAAAAAGTTAATGCAGCTTGGTTTTGGGTCTTAATTAAGGATAAGCAAAGATTCATTCTTTCACCTCATTATGCATTATTGGGTGTTCACTTGAAAGTGCACTGTTCTTAACCTATGTTAATGCTATTCTCTCCTTGAATGTTCTACACTCGTATCTCTTTATGTTATCATGGTGCAGATGGTAAACATGAGTACTCTAATGAATTTGACTTGCGGAAGCCCCTAGAGAGACACTTCCTCAGTGTGCAGCGTGTAGATTGTGTTAGCATCCAAGATTCTCCTAATCTTTCGGCTCTTCAAGACCGTAGTGCAACATTTTTATCTCAGTTTCCACGGTATCATCATTTGCTTTCTTGGTCATATATTCATAATGTTTGGAAACATATGATTATGCTGCCATATTAGTAAATTTTTTATTTCATTTTAACCTGTTATGTCATCTCTCTTGCAGCTCCATCAAGAATACTGTTATGTCATATTTTTAGTGTCTCAACTAACTTGCTATTAATGTCTTTTTTATTTTATTTTATTTTGGTATATTTACTTGTCATTCGTTGCCCTGTTTTGGCTATCTTATAGAAATGATGGCAGCATCTCATGTGCTGGTCGAATTGCTATACAATCATTTTCTGCTCCTCAATGTGCATATTCCAACATGGTTAGTAGCAAGCCCTTATGATTTGTTGAATTATTATAAATTCCTTCCTTCTTTGAAAAGTTCTCTTGTAAATTAAGAATTTTCTGAAAATGTTTTGAACCTTTTAGACTGTAGAATTGTAGTTTTAAAACTCATTTTATGGTACATCCACTGATTTTAAAGTTGTAATCCATTGTTTCTGTTAATATACTACATTTGCAGGAATGGGATATGCTTTCATTTATTAGATCTCTCAAAAGCATGGTACGGTCTTCAAATGCAGTTGCCTTAATAACCTTTCCGCCGTCTCTTCTCTCACCGTCCTCCTGTAAAAGATGGCAGCACATGGCAGACACGTTGCTCTCTGTCAGAGCAATCCCAGGTTTATATCAGCCTGTACCTTGTGCTTAAGGACAGTTATGGTATGCGTTAATTTCAAATGTATCTTGACTTATTGATCTCATTTGATGCGTCTCTCAGATGAAGACAAGGAATTGTCACAACTACTTACTGGTTACCAGGATATGGTTGGCTTTCTCAACGTGCACAAAGTAGCACGCATCAACACACAGGTTCATTAGCATTACCCTTCATCCTAGTGTTGTTCCAACTTAATCAGTTCCTACGTTAAGACTTCCTTGGTCTGCAAATTTATTCACAGTAGCCTTATTGTGCTCAGTATCTTACATTGTTTTGCTTAATCATATACCTCATTTGTCTGAAATGTAAGCAGGTTCCTGTGATTCTTGAGGCAACAACCTTTTCAATCAAGTTACAAAAGCGTAGGTTTTTGGTTCTAGAATGTCTGAATCAGGCCCCTGTTGATGGTTCAAGTGGAACTTCGTACGGCACATCTGCTAGTTGCTCTGGTTCCTCCGGAACTGGGAACCTTGATTTTTGACTGCAAACCTCAGGAAGCATTCAACTAATCACCATAAGAACAAGAAACCGTCAGAAATGAACAGAATTCACCCTTACTGCATATTACTTAAGGTTTTCTGATAGCCAGCTGACCGAGCAGTTGAGGACCAGCCACAACTCCATACGTTGTCGATCCTATCTGCCAGATTCTTTCTAATGCTAGGTGGTCACGTACCCCTAGCAAACCTCTTGGTGAGCCAGATAGGAGATGGTTGCTGGCTATATAAAGTAGGAGAATCTAAGAACAGAGTCAAATTTACTCTATTGATCACCTAAGCAGGCTTGCTATAAATGATTCTGGGGTCCCTTGTTTTCTCCTTTTGGGATTGGCCCTTTTGCTTAGAAGAACTTTTGGTTGTGTACTACACAAGAGAAACTACGGTAAACATTTTACAACAGTTTATTTAGAAACATATTTGTTATTTAAGGTTTGAGTAATGTTTCATGTTTCGTCCGGATTTTACGTAATTGTAATTAGTGAAAATATTATTTATTATTTTAACGTAACATCAACGTGAAGAATGAAAAATATTATGTGATTAAGTTAGTATTCTACAACAGTATACAAGATCATCATTTATTATGATATGTTAACGTTACGTGGCATAACATGACAAATAGTATTTAAATAAATAAAAATTATTAATTAGTTAATTATTAATTATAAAAATTTATTTAATTTAAAATAAAAATAAAAAATTTTAATTTAATATCATAAAAAAATAAAAATTTATTTTAATTTTTAAATAGTTAAAAAAATTCACTTATTTAATGTAATGATCTAATTTGCAATTTTAACCTACATATAACTCCTACTTATAAATTTGGAATGAGCATTCTTGTCTTTGACCAAGCTTTGCAAATCTAAAGCCTTCAGTCAGGGTGGGCCAACCCGAACCCGTTAGCTCGTACAAACCAAACTGTCAAAAATGGGAAAAAAAAAAAACATAAGCGAGTTATTTTCGCTGGCTTGCCCGTTTGCTGCGTTCCAAAAGAAAAAAAACCATGGTAGTCCGATCCCTTTGGCGCTCGCGCGCCAAGCTGGCGGTTGCCGCCACTGCCCTCGGCATGGGAGGTGCCGCCGCGACTATCGCCACTTCGGACGACCCCGCCACCGCTCTCAAGGTCTGCACCACCGTTCCTCTCCGCCTTGTCCGTGACTCCGTAACTGCCGCCTCCGTCGTCTTCGGTACGTGAAACCATTTTCAATTTCTTTCAAAAGTTTTTAACTTTTTTCGGTTTTTTTGATTGAGAGAGTTAATTTGAGTTTAAAGTTTCAATCTTGAATAAGTTTAATGGAAAATTTTGTTGACTTTGTTAGATTTAAAGGGATAATTAAGTTTTGTAAATGCCATGGCTAGAATTTTAGTGAAGTATTGGGAATTGGGTTGCTTTATGTCTTTTTCTTTTTCAATTTTTATAGCCCCCCATTTTTTTAATGATGCTATCAGATTATGAATACTCATTATGGGGACTACCAGAAGGAAGTAATGAGAGAGCTAAGGTAAAGCATGAAGTTCATTTAAGGTCGGCGCGGAAGCTTCAAGAACTTTGTTTTAGAAATGGAGGAATTTATATCAAGCTTGGCCAACATATTGGGCAATTGGTATGCTCTTAGTATTGCTGACTTTGTGCCTTTGAATAAAGTTTGGCAATTGGGATTTTGGATTCATTAGATGCCTTTTAATTGTGGGTTTGAGCCGAAAATTTTTGTTTTCTTTTTTATTTGTTTAGGAGTACCTAGTTCCTCAGGAGTATGTTCATACAATGAGGGAGTCGATGTTGAATAGGTGTCCAGTTTCTTCATATGATCAAGTGTGTGAAGTCTTCAAGAAGGAACTCGGAGAGACACCTGATAAAGTATGTATTGTTTTGGAACATAATGTTAACATAAGCAGCATTGATTTTTTTTTTTTTTTGATTATTAAGGCTGCTTAAATGCTTTTCCTATTTAAATATTGCTATTGGCACTTTTTTTGACACATAGAAGACTAGAAGCTAGACTTGTCAATTTAATCTAACTTTTCATGTGCAGATCTTTAATGAATTTGATCCCAAACCGATAGCAAGTGCTTCCCTTGCACAAGTTCATGTTGCTCATACCCATGATGGCCAAAAAGTTGCTGTGAAGGTTTCAATCTTTGTTACTTTTACAGGAAAAAGCTTTCCATTTGAATTTTGTGGATTTAGGACTTGGGTATTTCTTGTTAGTATTTACTTTCCATTGCCAAATTATATTTCTTAAAATTCAGGTTCAGCACACTCATATGACAGATACTGCGGCTGCAGATCAAGCCACTGTGGAATTTATTGTCAACACTCTACATTGGTTATTCCCATCTTTTGATTACAGGTACTGTTTTTTAGAATTTCGTTGTTTGTCATCTAGATTATGAGTTATGATGCATACATAAATGAATGCATGCCTGAAGAATTTGCTTGATTTGAGCATACAGGTTTTCTGCTGTCCTGTCGTGGCTTCAAACTGTTAATAGTTCATTGAAATTTTCTTGGCTTATGCATGCAGATGGTTGGTGGCTGAAATTCGAGAAAGTTTACCCAAGGCAAGTTGCTTTGATAACCTTCTCATTATATTTTCCAGGAATTTCTTTATGTCTTGATATTCCACAAAAATTTCTCTGAATTTACTCTTTTAAGAAACCTAGATGTATTGTAAAATCAGTTTCCTTATGACATGGTGCTTGTGTTTTACTCTCTGTGGGTATACCTTCCATGTACCCTTCCCTGTAAAAGGTGGGACTTAGAGTCAACTATCTATAACTGTCTTTTGCTCTGATAGACTTGTTTTCAGTCATCTAATATGTGTTTAGCCTTCTTTCCATCCAAGGTGGTATACCATGAAGTTTGATTGTTTCTAGCCTTTTGACATCAGGAGCTAGACTTTTTGATAGAGGCAAAGAACAGTGTGAAATGTTTGGAAAATTTCCAGAAGCTGTCTCCTCATATTGCAGATTATGTATATGCACCAAAGGTGCATTGGTCTTTAAGTACCTCAAAGCTGTTAACAATGGAATTCATGGATGGTGCCCAAGTGAATGATGTGATTACCATTCGAAGACTTGGAATCCAACCCAATGATGTTGCAAGATTAGTAAGTTTGACTTAATATTGTCATCCAAGTTGTTTTTCTGCATTTAGAAGCTGTATTAACTTGTCTACCCTAAGCTTTATTCTTTATTAACAACATTTGTGTACAGGAATCATGTATTTTGAGAATGAGACTTTAGTATTTCTGTATAAGAATATATATTAGGACTACAGTTATATGATTGTTATAAATATATACAAGAATTAATCTTGATATGTAATCTAATTCTATGCAGGTTAGTCAAACTTTTGCTGAGATGATGTTTAAACATGGATTTGTTCATTGTGATCCACATGCTGCTAATTTATTAGTTCGGCCATTACCTTCTGGGAAAAGTAACATTTTTGGTGAGGTTCCCTTTTATGTTGAGATCAAATGAGAATGTCTCTAGTAGTTCTTAATTAGATGCAATGGGGAACGTCGATGTTAAATCTTTCTTGTTTTCTTAACTATCCGTAATAAGAGTATTGTTCTGTCTGTTTTTCGTGAAAGCTATTGGAACTCTTCAGCCTGATCCTCTAAGATGGTGCCTCTTCTTTCTGTATGAAATTATTCACTGCTAGTAGTGATGCCATCTTTTAGATTTCAATCATATAACTTTGAAATAAAGAAATATAGTGGGGAGCTTGTGATTCTTAATGCCAAAAATGTTGGTTTCTCAATGTTCTGTATTCATAACAAAATTGACTAAAACCTGCTGTACCTCTTTCCAGGAACTCTGAAATATATTCATGGAAAAAGGAAAATAGAGAAATCTAGAAAACATTATGACTTCCACTTAGATATATAATGGGTCATCCTTATTAAAAATTTGAGTGCCCATGATGAACTTCTTTTGAGGCTTTTAATGTGCTTGGTTGTGAAGTTTAGTTACTTTTCCAGACACAATGTTAGAATTCCTTGTCTGAATATTTATTCTATTTCCATTTCTCCTTTTGTATGTGCAGGCAAGAAAAAACCACAGTTGATACTTCTGGACCATGGTCTTTATAAGGAACTTGACTTCTCTACCAGATTCAACTATGCTTCTCTTTGGAGGGTACAGCATTGCTCTCCTCAAAAATTTGGATTTAGTTCTTGATGCATTTATGAGTTTTACTTGTGAGCAACTTGATGTTTTCCTTTCATGCTTTGACTTGCATTGCAGGCATTGGTGTTTGCTGATGCTAATGGAATAAAGGAAAGTAGTGTCAAATTGGGTGCTGGGGAGGATCTATATGTGCTATTTGCAGGGATTCTAACCATGAGGCCCTGGAATAGGGTCATTGACCCTGCTGTGGATCATTTGGTCATAAAAGGCACTGACAGTGATCGTTCAGAATTGCAGGTGATATTATATTGAAGTGTTCTGAGATGCTTCTATAGATGATGTTACTGATAACTGAATAAATTTCTGATTCCAAATGAAGCTCTGTTTTATTCTTTGAGAGTGTTTGTTGCTATATTAGTAAGTTGGATTTTTTAATTGATTGGTTCTCACTTCTTGGTTGGCCATATCTATCTTCTCTTACAGATGTATGCATCTCAATATTTCCCTCAAATATCAGAGCTTCTCAGGAGACTGCCCCGTGTTATTCTATTGATGCTGAAGACAAATGATTGCTTAAGAGCAGTCAATAACTCTCTGGTATTTCCACATCTTTGATTCCATTTAATTCTTTGTTTGCATGAGGTCACAATAAGGCTTATTGTTTGAGCACTCCACCATACTTATGAATTTTGATTTGTCACCAAATTTTCTTGACTGCTGCTTGGATTTGGATGTTCATATACAGTTACAGGGTTCATCTCTTGAGACATTTCTGATCATCGGGAAGGTTTCTTCTGAAGCAGTTGTTGAGGCAAAGATGATGCAGAAGAAATCCTTATTACGTTGGTTAAATATCTGGTTGGAGGAGGTCATCTTGGGAGCTCGTCTTTTAGCAATGCAGATGGCCTTGTGGCTTTTGCAAGTCAGGAAAGCGTTGACTTGGACATAAATTCAGTTTCCGAAGTAGTTTCTTCAATTCTCAACAATTTTAATATCATATTTTTTGCCCCCGTTGTTCAGACCACCGCCATGCGGGTTGTTTGAACTCGGATTGACAGATTGATTCTTTATCTCTTCAAAGATATGAAAAAATTCATTACATTGTCAATGTTGTAAAACCCCATCAACCGGGCGAGTTATAAACTGTAAGAAACATCATTTTACAGACAATAATGGATCAATTTCAATAAAAAGCAGAAGCAGCTGATTATTGATTTATGAACATTTTATATAGTATGTGGGAATGAAGCGTATGGTGTGGTGTCATATACATCTTCGTTCCTTTCATGTGACAGGAGCTTGATTGAATGTTGGCACAATTCAGGCAAATAGAATTAAATGCTATCAAAGAGAAATAGACTCATCAACCGGTTTCTGCTTATGTTTAACCTTTAATGGCTTCCTTTTCGAATGTCCTTTGCATTATTACTCATAAATCATTGCTGCATTAGTTGTTGGTGTCTGGTAAACCTTATTTTTTTCCTCTCTTGATCCTTCCAAGCTGTCCCAATCAGGAAAACCCTTTGCCCCATGGAGCTGGCAGGTTATTTATGCTCTCGGGATCGGTGCCAGACCTGTTAAACAGATGTGGAAAAATCAAGGACAATGGAGATATTATGAAGGGTTTTAGCATGGTAATATGGAATGGAAAAAAGGATGGATCAAGACTTTTTCTTGATTAGGGTATTGAAAGAAATGTGTTACAAGCTGCATTTATTGTGGAGCAAGGTTTGGTGGCTAGTTTGGTGGGTTATTACGAAAAGCACTGCTGCCCACCACCTCCCTTGCCCTCTGCCCTCTGATTACTTTATTCCACCATCAATTCCTCATCTGCTTTCTCTCCATTGCATAAATACTTCATACCTCTCTTTCAGCCAAATGTCCCCTAATTTAGTGATTGCTTTTTATTATCTTTTTCATATATATATCAGCAAAGTCCATAAACAAGAACATCCAAGTATGTTAAATTATTATTTTTTATTAATGCTATTAATATTATTAAATTTGGACAACACCTTGCCGATCCCTAGTTGGTATCAAAGCCTCATGTCTAAAAACAAGGCAAGACATATTGTCATGCTAAAACCTGACTATAGATTCTTTGTTTTCTTAAAGAAAAAGCTAAGAATAGCCTGTGGACTACATAGGCAGTGTCCACATGCAGAGATGCCAATGTAGCATAGACAGAAGTAGTGCTTATATCTTGGAAAAGTTTATCAAAAGTAACCTTTTTTTTGGTATGTTTGTTGGAGTTAGTGTTCAGTAAAAAAAAAATTAAAAAGAAAGAGTGAGTGTAGTTGGTTTCCCAACTACCAAGGAAAGGTCAAACGTATATCATTAAAGCAGGTTGGCAAAGGGTTCCTCTAGGCTCCACCTTGCTTTCCCAATTCACATTTAAAGGGAGAGAAAGAGAGATAAAAAGAGTTTTTTAGAGGAAAGACAGAGAAAAATGGTGGGACCAGTAAGGCCGCAGTTCGTCCTCTTTGGATCATCCATTGTCCAACTTAGTTTCAGCAATGGCGGATGGGGTGCTATTCTAGCTGACGTCTATGCTCGCAAAGTACTTTCTCTTTGTTTTCCCTTTCTGGTTTATTTTGAATGCCTTTGTTTGAGTTATGTTTTGTTGGAATACGAGGTTGTCACCGTTAGTTTGATCCATTGTTGCTGTTCACCTCTTCTTTTTTGGGCTCCGAAGATAGAACATAACTCTATAGTTTTGTCTGCTACATTCCAACTTCTTTTTGTTTTTTTCTTTATATGATAAATGCTAATCTGAATGATTTATTTTCAACAAAGCCTGGTCTTTTTAAGGATTGATCTGCTCTCTTTGCTTGTTTTAATGTCTTTCCTTGTTTACCATTAAGGTTGTGGTTGGTAGGAGAGAAAAGAGAGGAAAAAAGGGGAAGAGAGAGAAACTTTTTTCTTGTTCTTTCTTTCTTGGTATGAGTGAAAATTAATGTGACAGATGAATGTTTACCAATTTATTCATTATAAATAACAATTCTGCAAATTTGGATGAATTAAAGGAGGCAAATTGTAAATTTTGATTGTACAGATTGTCCCTGTAATTTTGAGAGGGATGGCAAGGGAAATGAGCAAGATTTAGGAAATAAAGTTACAAACTTTACGATGGTAAATGTAATAGTTGTTTTTTTTTTTTTTTGCAATGATTTGATTTCCTCCTGTTGTTTGGTTTCCATCTTTCCCAACCAAGAAATCAATAGAAGAAGTTAAGTTACAGTCCAAAGCATTCACTCTCTAGCTATTTACAGAGACACATAAGGCAGTGTTCCTAATCTTAGGTGCATGTTCTGATGCCAATCATTGCACTATGATTGTCACCTCATTTACTGATTGTGAAAGAATCTGCCATTGGTATTCCAATACTCTTACTTTGTGTGTGTGGTTTGTGTTCTTATGGGAATCCTAAGTTACTTGTAATCCCTTGCAGGCTGACATACTTTTAAGAGGATATTATGGATGGAATTCGCGACGTGCCGTGGAGGTGCTCGATCATGTTTTCCCAAAGGTATAAAAGTTTTTGATAGTCATTACATCAAACTTGTCAAAATTCTAATTGATGCTTATGGATCAGCCATGAATTGATTGAAATTCCTTCGAATTATTGAAATCACTGAAGATTTTGGAGAAACTGGATATTGAACTTAGACAGTGTGTGATGCTAAAACTTAAAAGTTAATTGGTGAATGTATTAGAAGCCTGGTAATGCTTTCTGTAATTTGGAAAGGTCTTTTTTCATTCTATATGTGATCGTTGATTATGCATGGGTATTAGTTTCCATGCTCAGATTGCTGGGGTATTCTCTTTTTAAAGTGGTGTTTTGATATTAACAATCGCAGTTCGGTTCTTTTATGTATTACAGGATGCTGCTACACAGCCTTCTTTGATCATAACTTATTTTGGTGGTAATGATTCAATGGGACCTCATCCATCTGGCCTTGGACCTCATGTGCCACTTAATGAATATATTGAGCACATGAGGAAGATAGCAATTCATCTGAAGGTACTTTCTCAACATTTTTCTCAGTTGAGCTTGATGCATCACTGTAGGCTTTAAGAGAAACAGACTGACCTAGCAGAAAATTAGACAGAAAATCTTCTTTCTTGTGAGGTCCAGAATTGTCCTAATTGCTTGGAACAAATCAAAGAGAAGAAAATGGTTTCAAATGCTTGAAATTTATCAGTTGTTCCTTTGTTTATTTGTTTTTGTGAAGGGGCAGCCTTAAGCTCAACCTAACAGGTCTTTTCGCTGTCTGAGAGTAACATCTGTTGCTCATTCTAACTTCATTTTTCCTTGTTCTGAAAATCAGAGCCTTTCAGATTCAACACGCCTCATTTTTCTTACTTGTCCTCCTGTTGATGAAGACAGAGTTAGTAAAAACACAAGGTGCTGTAATGCATGTTTTGTATGATTTGTTTCCCTTATTTCTTATTGCAAAAATGTTGATCTAAGACATGCCTCCCTTCGGTATATCAGTGAATTCTTTAGCCACCTTATTCGAACAAACGAGTTATGCCAGAAGTATTCTGAAGCTTGTGTAAAGCTGTGCCTGGAATTGGATGTGAAGGTGGTTGATCTTTTTACTGCGTTTCAACGAAGAGATAACTGGACAGCTGATTGCTTCACGTAAGTTTTGCTCTGCTATGATTTCCGAATCTCATCTTCTTTTGACACAAATCACATTTTGAAAGTTCATTGGCTTTATTTGTCAATCAACCATGTGCTTTATGCTCCTCTTAGGTCTCTTCATATAACTTCTGTCTGCCTTTTGCCCCATCCTGCCAGCTACTTCAGCGTACCTTTTTTGCCTTTTATGGTAGGATACTTGAGGGAACTAGTGATACCTCTTGCTGTGACAATGACATTTCCTGTATGGGAATCTGACATGGAAGTTTTGCTACCATTGCTAGTTCACTTGTGTTCTAAAGTTTGTGCTTTTGATCAGAGATGGAGTTCATCTGTCCGCTGAGGGGAGCAAGATTGTAGTGGCAGAGATACTAAAAGTACTCAAAGAAGCCGAGTGGCAGCCATCTCTGCACTGGAAGGCCATGCCAACTGAATTCTCAGAGGACTCACCTTATGATCTTGTTGCTGCTGATGGGAAAACCACATTGAATCCGTCCGAATGGACATTTCACCGGGCGATCCAATGGGACTAGAGCAGTGCAGAGTTCTCTTCCAGGTTCAGATCTCCAACATCCCATGGAAATCAAACCTGTCTCACTACTTGAAATTGAAGGATGAAGTACCAAAGATGAACAGGATTTGTGGAAGAGGACTGAGCTTTGAACCATTTTAATGGTTGCTTCTTGCAAAATCCATTATGAGTTTGATTAATTCAGTTCGGTTGATTCTTGTAAAGTTTGTATACTACTTAATAAGCCTAGAAGAACTTGAATTTGAAGCACACAGGCCAAAAATGTTTGATTCGATTTCCCCCAATGGGAAACTTTTTTACTTTCCAATTTTCTATAAACACATCTAAATATTTTATGTGGGAACATGTTTCATATTCCTTGAAATTCTCTTTCATACATTATATGCCTCAAAAAGTATTTTTAAGAAGAAAACATTTAAATCAACTCGTCATTCTCGTAATATTTAAAATTTTTAAATTTTTTCTCTCCAACGATCTAAAAAGAAAAAACATAAAAAATTATTTTTAAATTTCATACCGAGATCAAAATTCGACTCTTTGGACAATAAGATGCATTAAGTTAATAACTTAAGTATAACATTTATAACAAATAATTCTAAAATTCAAAAGTAATTAAATTTTAAATTTTTGAAAATTTGAGTTTTTCTTTAACATAACAATTTAACTAAATTCGTCAAATTTAATTAAATGATCCCATTGTCAACGCAAATGGGCCATCAAAAAATGTACTTGTCTCCTATCATTGGATGAAATTGCACCAACTTTTCAAAGGAGTCGAGATAGGTTCGAAGTAATCGGTGTTGCTTTCTTCCACCAAAATTCAAACAACTGGTAATATTTTTTTACGAACCCATTTTTCCAAAGTGCATTTCGGACCCACAAAAGGTTGAAGTAAAGCATATATGATCACTTTAAGGAAAATTAAAATGGCAAAGGGACAAGGAAAAAAGAGACAAAGCTCCAAAGAGAAAGTGGTCCTTGGAAGGAAAAGCAAGTTTAAGTTTGACATATGTTTTCGAAGTAAAGTGACCCACAGACCCACAAGAAACCTACCCTTTTGAACAAATGGAAAGGATTTAGTCCTCGGCATCTACTTATTAGGCTAAAATTTTTATATTCGAAAACTTGTTTTGAATTTTTAAATTTCGTAAAGATTAAAGTTTAATAACGTAAAATTAAGATTGACTCGATCAAGCGAATTATGTTGAGTATTTTATGTATGTTAATATCGAATATATAATTTTTGTAAAAATTGACATATATTACTCTAGATTCGAGGAGTCAATTATGCGCAAAAGTCTATAAAATAAACTAAGTCAATCAAAGAAAAAAGAAAAAGAGGATCAAATTAATATCATAGAAGAACCAAAGAATCTAACATATATTTGACATGACTAAATGCAGGAATTAAGGTGCCTTTTATTTCTAACAAAACCCTTTTTTGTTCCCAAGACTTTTGCAGCTAACAATGAAGCAGCTGTTCTCCAAGGTTCTGTCTCCGACAGACATCGAACACAGGCTGGCGGTTCCGTCGGAGATTTTGTGGGCGTTCGAGTTCGATGACGAAGCTCGTGCTGCTGATTTCCATGCCGAGGACGAAGCTGGGCAGAAGTGGCACTTCCGTTGCTCCACCAGGAAGAAAGATTTCCACCCGAAGCCTGTCGTTTCCAAAGGGTGGCGTCGGTTCGTTAAGGACAAGAGACTTCGAGTTGGAGATAAGGTTGTGTTGTACAAGGCTGGCCAAGGTGGTTCCTCGTACAAAATCAAAACCATGAAGAAAGTCTTCAAGTTGTTTGGTGTAGAAGTCTGGCATGAGTCTTAGCCAAAGAATTTGTAATTCCCTTTGTGCTTTCTTCCTCTTCTTGTAGTAAAGATGAATAAACAACTAGTTTCTTGCATGTTAATACAATTAATTGAGTGGGAATTTTGTTATAATTTTCCCTTTATTAACTGATGATTCTGTTGTTTTTTCCTCTATCTTACTGTTTTCTTGAGTACTTCAACTGGCAAAGAAGCAGGTGGTTGATGTCCTTGAACTATTCATAGTAACACTTTTTTATGTCTAATTTTCAGGTTTCTTTCACTTCTTTGGATAAGATTTTGTGGTAGAAACAATTATATTAATTATTTCGAAAGTGATTCAAAATGTATTAAATTTTGAAATAGTACATATCAAGAATAACGTTCTTAAAAAGAAAGTTATTTCAATGAACTAAATATGATAAAAGAGAAATGATAGTTATTATCTGTACAAAGCAAAACTCGAGTGATAAGGATGCAATGCAAGATAGGAAAAGCAGAAAATAATTATATATTTTTTTCAATAAAATTATTAATTTAACAT